AAAGTTGAGAGATCTTTTTTTTTTTTATTAAAACATTAGAAACCTGTCAGGTAATAAATTGTGTCATAGCTCTGGAATTCTGTTTATATCTATCATTTATATGCGACATTTCTAACGTTAACCTACTTTTAATGAACGCAGAGATTTTATTGTTTCTAATTGTGTGCTTTTGTTTTTACCACAGTTGCACAGTATCCTTTTGAAGACCATAACCCACCACAGCTAGAGCTTATCAAACCCTTTTGCGAAGATCTTGACCAATGGCTAAGTGAAGATGACAATCATGTTGCAGCAATTCACTGTAAAGCTGGAAAGGGACGAACTGGTGTAATGATTTGTGCATATTTGCTACATCGGGGCAAATTTTTAAAGGCACAAGAGGCCCTAGATTTTTATGGGGAAGTAAGGACCAGAGACAAAAAGGTAAGGTGTACTGGTGGGTTTTGTTCTCCTTGTCAGAGAACCTACACTTATTGGACAAATCCGGGGGGAGAAGGGGTTGCGGGATGGAGCGGGGCTTGCTAACTCTTATTTTTATCTTGTGAGTTTTAAAATATGCCACTACCGTGACTGCTATATGAGCATATGACTTGAGTCATTCAATTTTTCTGTTAATTCTAGCATTTTCATATCATGTTAACACATCTTGCCCATTAACAATATTGCAGACTTTTCCTCATAAAACCCTTACAAAGCATTTGAAAAAGCAGCACTTCAGTCAACTTAAGCTTGGTATTTCAGAGTAAGCTGAGAGTGCCTTTGTATAACTACTTAGTAAAGTTTGATCTCTCATAATGTATGAAGATTATTTTGTGGTATGAATATGTATATAGTTATGATTAAGCTTAATTAAAAGTTCAACTTATTCGGAGAATGAATGAATAGTTTTTGTAGTACATTTGGAAACAGCAGGCAACTCTTGGGAGTGCTTTCTAGTGGTTTTTATGGAATATTACTTTGAATGGTGAGTATGGTAGAACATGTTAATTAGCATTCAATACAGAGAGACTTTGTTCATTTCTCTGTCTCCCAATCCATTCCAGACAGATGGAAAGACTTCGAGAACCCCAGAAAAGGAGACATCACAACTTTATGAGACTGATTTGTCGTAATTTTAATAATTAAGATAATCAGGAGCTACTTTTTTCTTTTAACTTCCAAACGGTTATAAAGATGATCATCTCCATTTGTTTGAACTGTATAGTTGCATTGGTTCCTGGATCCTTTACTCCTGCTACATCTCTTATTTTCTAACTTTTTAAATTGGTCTTTATGAATTTAAAAAATCCTTCTTGAGGATATCAAAATGCAGTTTCCTGATGATAGTTTACAAAATTGAGTTTTTTATTAGTGCATAATTTTGGTGTTGAAAATTATGAGTTTACCTTACATTTCTCTATACTGTGAAGACCCTGGGGTAATCAATTAAAACACAGTGCTAGAAGATGGACACTGGTCCTCAGCTTTGTGTTAGATATGTGTTAAAGTACTCCTTTAACACAAGAACACTTTTTTCTAACAAGCTGGCATTCTGTGATGCTCACCTTCCCTATACGGTCGCTGAAGACAAAATGGGTGCATAAGCAAATGTGGTGAAGAAAGCTGATGGTGCCCGTCTAAGATAGAGTGTTTGGGGTCTTGAAGGTTTGAAGATAAACAAGCGGCCATCTAGCTCAGAAGCAACAAGTCCACATGGAAGAAGCACAACAGGCTGTGTGATCATGAGGTGTCGATGGGATCAGGTATCAGGCATCTAAGACCCAGAATAAAACCATACCCAAGATGAATGGGGGGTGGGAGTTACATGGAGTAGAGACCCAATGCCCATCTGTAGACAGTTGGACATGCCTTCACAGAGGGGTCACAGGGAAGAGATGAGCCAGTCAGAGTGCAGTATTACACAGATGAAACACACAAGTTTCCTCTAGCACTTTGGTGCTTCCTTCACCCCACTATCATGACCTCAATTCTACCTTACAAATCAGATTAGACCAGAGCATGCACACTGCTACAGATAAGAGCCCAGAACACAGGGAATCCAGGATAGATAAACCCCTCAGGTCCAACAAGGAGAGTAGAGATACCAGGAGGATTAGGGGAGGGTGGGAGGAGAAGGGGAATCGATCACAAGGATCAACCTAGAACCTCCTCCCAGGGGAACAAATAACGGAAAAGTGGGTGAGGGGTGATGGAGGACGATGTAAGGTATGGAAATAATCTATAACTTACCAAGGGTTTGTGAGGGAGGGAAGGACGAAGAAATGGGGAGCTGATATCAGGGGCTCAAGTAGAAAGAGGATGCTTTGAAAATGATTATGGCGGCATATGTGCAAATTTACTTGACACACTGGAGGAATGTATGGATTGTGATGAGATGTAAGCGCCCCCGATAAAAGTTTTGTTTTGTTTTTTTAAACCATAAAACCACAGTGCTAGAAGCTTTGGTAGAAATTAAAACAGGATTAATGAGAAGCAGACATTGTGGTAGTGGAAAATGAATCTGGTAATATATATTTAAAAATCAAAATAGAAGAGTTTAATAATGTGGAACCAGAACATTAGATTTGTGTTATGTACCATTGAAAAATTGATTGAAAGCTATAAATGCTTCCCCACCAAAAAGTGAACAAAAAATGTGCATGTTGGACATGAACATTTAATTTTGGATATAGTTCTTACTTTTAATTGTTATTGAGAATTACTGAGAATTAATACTTTATTTAAATATAAAAGCAGCCTTCCTAAAAATTATATTTCATGCTTTCTTCCTGCATGTACCTGTGGCCACTACCTGAAAACAATGAATGAACCTTAAGTGGTACAAATTAATCAAAATTAAGCTTTAGTTTTGAATCATAGTAAATTATACCCTGTTTCCCCGAAAGTAAGACATCCCTCGAAAATAAGACCTACTTAGTTTTGCCTCTCGCTGAAATCTAAGGCATCCCCCAGAAAATAAGGCTCCCTGAAGCTACGGTTAACTCTGGACTGTAGCAGCGGGGCACCACCACGCAGCTCACTGTTGGCTGCAGCGCAGCCGGAGCAGACAGGAAGTGCGAGGTCTCTTTAACTAAAACAATAAACAATAAATGTGTACCTTATTCTTCTTCATGGAAAAATAAGACATCCCCCGAAAGTAAGACCTAGCGCATCTTTGGGAGCAAAAATTAATATGACACTGTCTTATTTTTGGGGAAATAGGGTAGTGAAAAGGCTTGTATTACTTAACATGGGAAACGGCAAGTTGAAAGTATTTGTTATCTTTGACTTGGCAACTTTTATGTCCTCTTTGATAATCAATTTCAGCTTTGTGTTTGGTAAAAGTAAGTGCTAAAAACCCCGTCATAAAAGAATGAAAGAACAAATGGAATCCTTAAGACTCTTGAGATAAAATTTTGTTACATAATTTTCTTTGCTTTCAAGTTAATGAGATCATTTCTTTGGCAAGATGTGTATGATTAGTGCTAGGATTATAAAACCCACATTTTTGTTTAAAAGTTGAAGAGTTAAAGTCTTTCTAAAGGTTTGTATATTTTGCAGTTAGTGGTAGTGCCTGTCTGTAGAATTTATCTTCTGAAGCCAGTGAACTTTGTGTACCCATGAACCTCTCTTATTTGCTCCAGTTTCTTGACAAAATTTCTTGGGAAGACTTTGACTGAAAGTCTTGGTTGCCAGGAATTTGGCAACTTTCACATGATTTCATGACAAATCCTCTTGCACGGGTTATTCTTCAATGCTTGGCACTCATGAAGCAGAATATTTTCACAACTTTAGATAAGATTTCTTTTTGAATTGATGGTAGAGTCGTGGATACTGTTGAAGAAAGCAGTGAGTCACAGTACCACGTAGAGCTTCACTCTTTACTAAAGCAGCAAAACCAGTGGTGTTGTCAGCCCATTAGCGTGCACTGTCTACAGAATACTGAGGTTTCTGCAAGAAAAGTTTTTGGCAAGGAAACGTCACCATTTCGAAAATGCTAATTGCCCATGAAGTTTCCAAAAAGGAACTATTCATAGATTGTGTCACCGTGCATATAATTGATGACAACCAGTAGTTGGCTACAGCAAGAATTCTTACCTGAAGGGAGGTCGTATTTCCAATGTTTTCGGGTATCGGTTTACAAATGCCAGTTACTTTTGGAATGAGTGATATGTTTGATTTAGATATCTGTACCATTCTTTCTCTGCTCCAAGTCACAACATGTTGTTTGACCTTTCTGTGGCACTTGCCTTTACCCTGTTCAGTAGTGAGACTTTGCATGCCTGGCATTGTAATCAATAGCCTTGTAGAATGCTTTAGTAGTGGAACAATGAAAAATTTATACTAGTCTAGTCTTTAAAACTAAACTGTGCTCTTACATGTGCTCTCTCTTCTCTTCCATTCTACTTGAGACACACACACACACACACACACACACACACACACACACACACACAAGTGCGTGCGCATCCTTTCTAGTGTAGATGCTTCTTTAGTGTTTATTCCTGATGGTAAGACTTGTCACAGAAGAAGCACTTGCGTTATTACCTCCTTCCTATGTATTCATGGATGGAACCACAACCCAAGGATGATGATGTTAGGTGCCTGCCAGTCAGTCAGTTCTGACCCATATTGACCCATGTACAACTGCCCCGTTTTGAACCATCCTTAAAACCATTGCCGTGTTTGAGCCCATTGTTGTAGCCACCATTATGTCAGTCCATCTCATTGAGGGTCTTCCTCTTTTTTTGCTGACCCTCAACTTTATCAAGCGTGATGTCCATCTCCAGGGACTGGTCCCTCCTGATAACATGTCCAAAGTACATGAGACGATGTCTCACCTTCCTCGCTTCCAAGGAGCATTCTGCATTCTGGCTGTACTTCCAAGACAGATTTGTTGGTTCTTCTGAAAGTCCATGGTATGTTCCTTATTCTTTGCCAACACCAACACAGACTAGAATTGGTAAACATAGGATACTTAAAACCTTATTATATTTTGTTTTGTTTTTCTGTTTCCAGTTTGTTATATCCAAGAGAAGTCACCATAAACAAAGCGAAGACCTATTTTAATTTCTACCAGTGGGAAGATAACAGCTGTAGTCATCACAGTATGATAATTCTATTACTTGCATACCTACTCCATACTTAACAACTTTCCTTATCTGACACATTACATTTATGACAATAATAAAATATCTGATTATTTTATGCATTAGTCATGTACATCTGACAGTAAAGAAAGCCAAAATGCTGAGTTAGAGTAAAGCTGACTGAGGTCGAAGGTTGTTTATCAACTTAGATGGCCATGATTCTTCGTGCTTTGGCAGTTACGGATTGATGCCATTTGGAAGTTATGCCATGATGTGGTCATCCTCCTTTTGGGGGCCGATGTGGTCATCCTTAGTTTGTATAACACTGGTTTTTGCATAATGACCTGTTCCTTGGGGCCTAACAAAGGCATTAAATGAGGAATGGGTGCATGTTGTGCTACTTGTATATTTCCTGTGTAGAGCCATCAATTGTTACTGAATAGGAGTTTAAAGTATTATGATACTTCAGTCATAAAAGAATTTTAAAAATTGAAGCAGTTTTTAAGAATTAATAGGAACTAAATTGAAATACATACTTGGTATTTACTCTGTGTGTGCAGTTCATGGCACATCCATTGTCCTACACCATTCTATTAGGACCTCAGGCTTTAGTAAACCCCCGACTCCTAATAGCTGCAATAGATGTAAGGAAAGGATGTATGCACGAGAAATGCTATAGGATGTTGTATGAAGTGAGCTAGAAGACAGCAGGGGGTGTGTTTATGGAAATAAAATGTAAAGAATCTAGGGTCATGTGGTATAAGAGTATAATGGTACCTACTTCCTCAGTAGTCCTGTTTTATGCATAGCACAAGCCTCCCCTCTTCGTATAGGATGAATCTCTCTTAAAGGAAAGCTGATTTTCTGATAAATAGAAAATGGAGAATTTTATGTTAAGCTATTACATGTTATCAAGACTAAGTAAAGTGAGTAATTTAGCTAATTTCTTTCACTATCATGATGGCAAAAAAAAACATTGAGATCTGTTGTACGTATCTCATGCTTAATTAATATTATCAAGACCATGTTTTCAATGAATTATTTAGAGTCTAAAGGTGTATCCTAATGTGCCCCTACCGTTACCCCATGTTCACTTTAAAAGGCAAAAGGACTCCGAGCAGATGCTGTTGATTATGCTATGTGAATTTCACAGGCATTTCATTTCAGGTTGAGGAAGAACAGCATCTAGAAAGCTCAATATCACAGATAAAAGTCAAAAGATCTTGAATTTTGTTTTGCAGCAATGATTCTTATTTTACCGGTGATAAATCTGAGTCCCAGAGAAGTGAATTACCTTAATCAGAATTGAGATTCTAATGCTTGGCAACTTTTTTGGTACAGCTTGAAGTTCACAGTATTTGGAATTGCAAAAAATTGTTAAGAATTTTCAGAATAATTAATCTCTGAACAGGGTCTAGCTCCTGAAATTAGAATTATGTATTGATGAAATTGGTCAGTTTTTAATACAACCTGTCAGTTTTTATCTCAGATCTTAGGATATTTGATGACCTCTGGTTGCAGTAGAATAACAACAGTTACAGGTTGTTCGTCCTATAAATATGATGCACTCCCTTACAATGTATGAACATTTAATCGTCTTAACACTTTCAAAGGTATCATGGCTAAGGATTAGCATGACAGCAAAATATAATGCATTTTTAGTCACCAATGAGTAACTAATTTCATAACAAGTAAACCCAGCTGAATAGGGCAAAGCCATTGCACAACTATGAAATTCATGAAAAGTATTTATAAATATGGATGTTTTAGTCTTAACACCTGATCAAATGTTTTTTGTTTTTTTTTGTATTTGCTAGTATTTCAGGTTAGGTTGAGCCTGTAAATTTGCATTTTTGTAATTGAACCATTATTACAGGGAGTATATATATTTTATCCACTTTGCATGCATTGCCTAGAATTTTATTGGAACCATGTTTAACATTTTACTTTATCCTTAGTCATAATTATAGAAGAACATTAAGAAATTGAAGAAAATTGGTGATGTTTCTAGACGAGGGGTGTCAAATTCAATTAAAACATAGGCCATTTGGTGCAACAGGCAAGATTCACACGGACCACATCACATTTACAAATTTTGTTAAATTTATATTTTGAAGTGAGGATTCGGGAATATGGATAGGATAATTAAAACACTATATAATTGCTTTTATTTAGTCATTTTTTTAATTTAATGTATTTATGAAACAAAATTATCATCTTTTACCCGAAACTTGCCAGCGCTTTCCTCCTCCTAGTTATCACTTACCTCTTATGTTGTGACCGGAAAATATAACAAAGTAACTAATAAAAAACACAATGTTGGACAGCTGACAAATGTGATGCACAATCGTAATGGCTTCCTTCTAAAAATGTTAACTAGTGCTGCCACTAGGTCTGATTCATAACAGCACAACCCAGAGTGCTCCTTCTACCCTTTTCACTATTGGGATCTACATTACATGACACTGAGAGTGGCAGACATATTGCTCCCAACGCGCCGGAACTGAGTCTGCGCGTTTATACACGTCCATAGGCCCCCAGGAAAGGCACTGGCCACGTGTACATTTGTGTTCAGTAATTAAAGGGTTAATGAGGGAATTATGTGTACGGTATTGCCTCGATCTCCCCTAAGCGCTATTTTCTTCATAACAATTTTTCTATTTTTATTTTATTTCAGAGCATTGCAGGCCACAAAAAACTATCTCAGGGGCCATCTGTGGGCCACCTGTTTGACACCCCTGTCTAGAGGATCAGACTCTTTTCTCTATTCCATTTTATTTATATGAAAGTAGAAGGTATTAAATTTTGGTGAAGAATCTGTAAACTTTGCAGAGATTTTCCTTAAAATCATATGGCATACTCTTGACATTTCTTTGATAGACGTGGTGCAAATTAAATAGACTGGTTGGGTGCAAGCTGACCATAAAGTGTGTCATCGTGTTGGTATGTTCAATACTCTGTCAATGTGTTGCCTTAATTAATAATCTCTACTTCACATCTCTAGATTCTATTATCCATTTCAATGGCTACATAGAACTCAGACAAATTCATGATTGAAGGGCTTATTAAGGATGCTAAACACCCAATGAGAAATGCTCAGGGTAGTTGTTTACCAGGATATATGTTACAAAGTTTCAGGTCTGCTATAAATGCTGTAAGCCCTCACCTGAAGGCATTCAGGTTAAGCTCTTTGTTTCGGCAACCCTAACTTCCTGATTTAAATTCTTGGAGGCCCCTCCTTCCAGGAAGCCTCAGCCCAAAGCCACTTACCTCCACTTCTATGGGTCAGCAAATCCAACTTAACTCAGTTAAGTGCTCAGAGACAACCCCACTCCGCAAGCCAGCCTTGTGAACAAATGCGCTCATCTCAGTTTGCTCCATCACTTGGGTAGTCCACCATTCTAGGTTCTGCTGCTGCTCCTTGAGGGAGGCATACCTGCCATGTGGATCCAGGAGGTGCACTGGGATCTCAGGGTCAGCAGATGCTGTCTACTCCTGGCTCTTGTCGGTAGTGAGAGCCCCTCTGCTTCTCAGAGTGCTCATTTTATACATGTCAGGATGTTATTCCAGGGAACCCTACTCAACGACTACTTACAGGTCAATCCTATCAGTATTTACCCCCCACCTTCTTCCATGACTCATGTAAGGAAGGTCTTTGGTGGGAGTTCGAAACTCTTGCTGGAGATCCATATTAAATAATTCACTGCCTCTGCAGTTAGGTTTTCAAGCTTGTAGAGTAATAAGATTATAATTGATATTTCCTGTGAAGAAAAATATTTTCTGAGAGAGCGATAACTATTTAATGGGTGACTCCTACTTTTTATTCTGTAATTTATATAAAGGTAACTGTGAGGTACCTACCAAGGAGTCATTTATATGCATGTTTGATACTTTTGCCTTATGAACATTTAGCAGATTATTCAAAAGCAAGCTGTTAATGGGTTGAAAGCTCTAAGACAACTCCTGGGGTTGATTCCCACCTCTACCTGCTTATACTGCGTTCCCAGCACTTGGGTTTCCTTGTTACTGTGAACTGGTAATTCATAACACTTATTCTAAACAAGGAAGAGTTAGAACATCTTCTGAATACAAGTAAGTGTGTATTTTAGAAATGTTGCCAGAGGGAAATGTGTAAACCTCTACTACTTGACAGACTTACCCAGCATTTCTATTCTTTACTCTTTCCCTTGCCCCTCTCCCTCTTCCAGAGCAGTGGTGCTGGAAAGTAACCATTGATTTGTATTTTCTTTTATTAAAATGTTAGCAAAAGTAAACTGAGCCACTTGTATTGTTTTTTTGTTTTCAAATCATTTATTAAAGGGGGTTTCAGAAAGCTCATTGAAAATTTCCTTTATCGTTTTCTATAAATGTTTTGTATTTTGAACTTTTCAGATGAGTTTATCTAGTACATATGTTGCTAGTGAAGATTTAGATCCTCTAGAAATAATAATAAATATTAACTGTATTCCTAAGTGATCCAAAGAAAAGAGGATTTTTTGAGGAATAAAATTGTGTGCCTGAACTTATAATAAAGTACCCCTGGGTAGCCCAGATGGTTAAGTGATGGACTACTAACTGAAAGATTGGCAGTTCAGAGGCACCCAGAGGCACCCAGAGGCACCTGGTGATTTGCTTACAAAAGTCTTCACAGCCTTGCAAACTGTGGAGCAGGTCTGCTCTGCACCCACGGGGCTGCCATGAGTCAGAGTGACTTGACAGCAACGGACAACAGCAAGCTTGTAATTAGGATCTTTTTCTAGTCTGTTTACCAAATTTTTCCATGTAATGAAAATTTCTTATTTTCTCTTCATTTAAAACAAAACAACCCGTAATTACTTTCGCAGTTTCTTTTTTTTAAGCACTTTATATAATGTTCTTATATTTTAAAAAACATTTATACTTCCATGCTAAACTGTTAATACTTGTATTTCATAGATCTGGAGATTCATAAAGTTATAGAATATTGCTTTATTATAGGTCCTTCGAGATTATTTAAATCAGGCTTGTTTTCACTTGAA